GGTGTGTGGTGCTCGTATAGTCAATGATACAACAGACCTGCGTGAGTCGGATGTGGGCACCCAGGCCGACCTTTTCGAGATCTTGAAAATTGGCGACGAGTTAGTTATATTTTTACATTAGCGCTTTTTGGAATGGCTTTTCCGTTTTTTGAGTTACCTGTGTAGTTCATTGTTCCGCTTTGTTCAGGTACTACACTTATGTGACATCGGAGAAAACCACTGCCTTGTACAATTTGCCTCCGAGGACCATCAAAGGACGTCATCAACGAGGTTTGTCATGCAAATTTTGAGCAAATGAAGTTTCGTTCGAAAATGTTTTTGTTAAATTCTTTGGGAGTTCAAAAATTAGTTTCTTCATTGTTGTTTTTTACAGGTAGAGCGCAATCTCCAAGATTCTTTGCACGTAGTCAGGAACATTATGTTGAATCCTCGACTGGTTCCTGGGGGTGGTGCTTTGGAAATGGCTCTTGCGCAGGTAACAGTCCAGATGTGCTGAGTTTAGTCTTTTACATCGTCTGGTAAAACATCTGTTGTAGGCTATCACCGAAAAGGGAAAATCGATGGAAGGAGTCCGACAATGGCCTTACAAAGCGATCGCTAGAGCACTCGAGGTAACTGTTTAAAAGAAGCCTGTGTTGAAGGTCAATCTCGATGATTTTTTTTCGTATCAGCTCAAAGTTATCTATTAGAATAATGACGTTATAATGCCCTAAATTCATCCAGCATTTCTTTCAAAAGACACTAGTGTTCAATCGAAGAGTGCTTTGTTTAACATCGGCCAACTCTATTGCTAGGCACACCTTCTTACCATGAAATAAATCTTAGAATTCCTCACTTTTCTTTTTTCTTCCTCAATTCCTTTGAGTATATTATAGGTGATTCCCCGCACTCTCATCCAAAACTGCGCCGGAAACACAATTCGTCAGCTGACTGCGCTTCGTGCAAAACATGCGCAGAATGCTGAAAATTGGACATGGGGAATCAATGGAACAACGGGCGAATTGGTAAACTTAAACTGTCTTTTTTTGTACTTTCATTTCTATTGTTCAGCAGGGGCAGTGCACTACTTCGAGAAAAACTGTCATTCTTTAGGTCGACATGTGCAAGTTGGACATTTGGGATCCGCTCACTGTACGTGTGCAGGTGTTGAAAACTGCTGTGGAAACATCGGTATTGTTTTTTCTTTTCTTCATTCTCACTGTACTTTCATTAATTTTCAAGTCCCTGATTCAACAAGTGATTCGTTATTCGCGCGGATGCGAAACACCTTAGTTGGGTTCTTTGCTTATTTCCTCTGCATTATCTTGGAGCGGTCAATTGCTTGTCAGGCCAAATGTGGCAATAGTTGTATCGCGATGTTGCTGTGATTAGAACATGCTGAATGGGTCACTCTCTCTATTTCTACTGCCTAATTGCGCAACCCAAGGTCGATCTCCTCTCCAGGGTTTTTTTTCGCTGCTCACATTATCGGAGCCCTTTTTCTCAGTAGAGATATGCTTTCTCTTCTAGAGTTCCGAAGCACTCTTTTTTCATAGAAAATGTTTGTTAAGCTAATTCGTTTCTAGTCTCCGAGGTTGACGTTTTTTCTGCAAATAGAAAAATTCTCAAACGAAAAATTCTTTTTATAACTGATGTGCATGCGTTTGCTTTCTGCGCAACTCCGGTTTGGTCAAAGAAACACTTATCCACGAAGCGGTGGGTGCATGCTTATAATTCCGTGATACGCTTTTCTTTAATGAAACAGGCATATTTTCCATTAAAAAACTACCTTTCATATTATACAGATCATGCTGCTTCGCATTGATGCACCTTCGTGTCCGGGCGACGAACGACGCAACCAATGTGCCTCAGAGGAAATGCCTCAGTGATCGGCGCTGTTCTCAACATACTTCCTTTACAATTTTCCGGCTGTCGGCGTTGCGTCATGCCCTTCAGTTTGCCTGTTCTTATTGTCCAATGCAATGCTGTCTAATTTCTCTCCTACGCGATGATCTTCTGTAGTCTGTAGTCTGCAGTTTCAGCAAGAAGAGCTGCTCCTGTCAGTTCGTGCTATGACACATGTTGAAGTTGTTGATTTTATTGTTCCTTTTTACACTTAATAAATGGCTTTATGCGTCCTAATTGCTGGTCCATTGTTTTAGATGTCTGTTGTGCTCGGTTGAAAATACATATGGGAAAACTTACGTTCACATTAATAATACCTCCCTTAACTTTTTTTGGCAGTTATAGTTCACCTTGACTCTATGGGTTCACCGTTTTTAAACATATGAACACGTAATAACTTCGTCCTCAATAGAGCTCAGCTACGGGACTGATATTGAGAGTAATTTTTCATACGGTTTACTTTTGAGAGAATTTCCCGAACTAAACCAAGAATATATGAAGCTCTCTTCACTTTTTGTCTGAAGTTAGCATGCTGAGTCATAGCTAGTGTTGCTAGGCAGCATCTTTAACCCTTTCGTGGAGGCCATTGTTTCCCAATCCGTTAGCATTTTTTCCGCAAAGGTTTCGTCATCCTCAATTTACTGCATGGTGGATGCGCGCCAACCTCTTGACAACTCATCATCCTAGCCTTTTTCTAGCTCTGAAGGTATCGATAGATAGTGAAGGGGTACTTTTTCGGGAATTTTTTCATCGGAGATTGATTGTTGGGTAGCAGCTTGTCAGTTTGCTCATGGGTAAAAGGCATTTGAGGTAGTTTCGTGTTCGAGTGAAGCGAGAGGTAGTTTCTTCTGCTGTGCTTTCTTCTACGATTGTCCTCCTTTACGCGATGAATTTCGACGTGAATACGCCTTCAGACTTTTCTTTCTTTGTTCCAGTTGTTTCGTTTTATTGGTGACTGGTGGAAGTCAGTGTGGGGTCAGTCCTGTGCTTTCATAACTTTCATTGATCCGGATGTTCGATCTCACTTTGCTGCGCTTGGTGCGCCTCGGGCGTAAGCTTATATATCACAAAATCATTTCATTGAATGCCGTAGTAATGCCTTCATTGATGTAGTGTTCTATATGGGACAGGACTTTTTGTGGAATTTTTGTAGAAAGAGAATGAAAGTTGGCTTGACACTCTTCTAGAAAGTAAGTTTCGTCAGTTTCGATGACCCCTCGTAGAGTGTATATGCCGTTCTTTTTATTATACTTTTGAGAGCCACACTCTCGAACGTCTAAGATTGAATTAATTAATTAGATCATTTAATTTCCCTTGCTTTGGGCGTGACAAGAAATAATCTTCAGTAGCACAATCATCAAGCTAAGGCTCAATTCACATCCCACTCTGTGACCCGTGTATCCCTACTTCTTAGCTGTAGGCCATCCATTTCTTAAAAAGGAAAGCCAAGTCAAATCCATGGCTGTCTGAGGAAAAATTGCTACGAATGGGGTGTTTTTTTTCCTCCGCTCCACGTTTTCGGAGGGATTATGGTGGTATCCGTGACTAATTAGCCCCGCGACAACGTCCTTCTGCTGTCATTGATTTTCTTAGGCTCTCAATGGATGAATGGGATCTATTGGATGAGGTTGACGTGATTGCTCTTTGGGCCTAATGAGCACAAAAAGAACGTCGAGTCGGCGAAATGGCAGGAACGAAAAGAGGCACTAGAGGTTAGTGAAGGTTATCCAGTTTTCTGGCCGTTATGGTCCTCGTATTCTCTGGCTATGTCTATAAGTATATCAAATTTTCTACTAAGTTATGGGTCTTCTAGGCACAGTTGAATGGCTAAGGGTATTGTCCGGCAGCAGGAATCTACTTTATCTGCATGCGCCTTACTCCCTCCGCGTGTGCCAATATCCATTCGCGACGTTTTTGCGCTTTAGTGCTATTCGACGATTTCTAAGTCGTTGTCGTTTATGATCGGGGGATGTCAACACATTTAACCGCGCCTTAGATGTTTGATTCTGCTCTTACTTTCGCAGTTCTTGGCCTGTCACGTCGGTTTCCATCACCCTCTTTATCCTCCAACGATATCCACGCTTCTGCACCGCTTGCGAGACTGCGACCGAACCGTTAACCTCCGTGGGTGTCTGTGAGCAGCTTGGCGGTCTCTGTTTCGCTCTTGGTTCTTCTGGGGGTTCTATCACAACCATGCCATCATCAAACATTGATACTGTAGGCCCTCTAGGCTACCCAGTTTTGTGAGCGGTTGGTCTTTTTGATCAACTCCCTCACCTTATCATTTTATGGATGTTAGACGATATACAGACTGAATTACTGACAAACGCACTAATAGAACCATGCCATTAGGTTCATATAATAGCGCATAGAGGGAAAAGAACATCATAAGATCAAGCTCAGACGGATTTTCTTTCGCTTCGATATTCTCAAATCGCAGTTTTTCAAGGTATTATCGAATCTACTCGAGAAAAATCCTCGATTATCAACCGCATCGATGACTATTTATGGAGAGCTGATGGATAATTTAAAAAAGGTGCGTTCAAGTCAGCAACGTGTGTTTGTGATGAGAATTACACCGGGTTGAATTTCCAGATTATTGCCCTTGATAGTAACATTAATGTTGTCATTGTTGCTTTACAAGTGGTTGCCAAGCTGGCCAACGGACTCAGAGACCGATTTGGTTGCTTTGTCTCAATGGTGGGTCACCTTTCTTCGACTCAATGTTTGTGGTTGTAGTTTATGAGATCTCCGCTAATTTCGTTTTTTTTTCGTTCATCTTTGATAAAGTTTTGACGCAAAGAAATTTTTTCCGTAAACCTAGGGCCAGGTGCTGTCTTGTTGATCCCACACTAGGTACCTATCAAGTTTTTCTTGCTGGCTTTCTGCCCTTAAGTTTTTCTTGCTGCTTTCGGCCTATCCCACATTTCTTATATTTTCCTTCCTTATTTCTGCATTTCTTATATTTTGCTGTGGCCAGTCGAAATAACTGGTTCTCTTTCCAGTTATGGGCACCTATTCTTGATAAATCTAAGGATAAAAAGGTCACCGTTCGTACCGCAGTCGGTCAGGCTCTCGACGCTATTTCGGATGTGGTGTGTTGGCTTTGAAATCTGCTGACTTTGTTTCGTAATTCGTTGATTCCTGAGCATTCCATCTTTCAGTGTGCTACTGATCGTCTCACCAAGGATCTGTGCGAACATTTATCCAAGCCTAATCCTCAGTCGAAACAGTGCCTCTGCGGTTTTTTAACTCGGTATTTCGTTCGACAAAATACTCCTCAGCTAGAATTCGCCAAAACTGTTTTGCCCGTTGTTGTAAAGGTTCGCAATCAGTTTTTCTTTCCTTAAGGTACAGAAATTATTTCCAATTTTGTTATCGCATCATATTTAGCTCGCTTCCGATAGTGACCCGTCTGTCCGTGATGCGGCCTGCAGTACCCTCGGGATCGGCTCGTAGACTTCTCGGGAAAGGTTTGGACGCGTTTCCTGGCACCAATTATCACCGAAAAGGCAAAATTGGACAAAGTAAGCTTTACCATGAAGTTTTTCGATGTTTCGTTGTCATTTTAGCTCCATCAATGGAATTTTATTGTTAGCATTTTGGCTTCTAGATAAAGTTGCACGATAAACATTTTAAAACATCGCATGTTTCTGGAGAAATTTTGACATATTTTTAAGGTCGAAGAGTACTGCGTCGAGGCGACAAAGCAGCATGAGGAGTTTCTCGCTAGTCGCCCACAAAAGGAACGTTCTAGTGGTTATGCGTCTGGCGATACCGTCGAGTCAACGGTGAGTTTTTTCATAGTGTCACGCGAAATCTTTTACCTTCGTTGAACATTATGGAATGATAGGAAGTGATGCAGGCCTATGATTGA